TTCTCAGTCCCAAGGTGAGGGCATTTGCTGGGTCAAGTTAGTCACTGTCCAGCAGGGAACCCCTACAGCTGGTTACCATAGATTTAAGGCCCAGCTACATAATTGATGAGGCCCAGTATGAAATGAAAACGTGGGTCCCTTGATCAAAAATTATTGAGAGTTCAAGACAGGCACAGTGGGTCCTTCTGCATGTGGGACCATGTGATTGCCCAGATTGCACCCCCCAAAGCCAGTCTTTGTTGGCTGAGGGTCAAAGGCCAAGGTCATTACTTGGGGGCAGGAAGGCCACAGATTTGAAGCTTCCTCAAGACTACCCATTTGGGCCCTGGTTGGGTAGCTCAGTTGGTTGGAGCATTATCCTCATATGCCAAGGCTGCGGCACATGGTCCGGGCACATTCAAGAATCAACCAGTGAATGACTAAATGAAGGATGTTTTGCCTTTCCTTGTCAGCCCCTAACTCCCCACTGCTTCCTACAGGAGCTCACTGATAGCCTATGGAGTGGCAAGGAACTGGGAGAAGAATTTAACCATGGGTAAGACAGGGCTGAATCAAAAAAGGATGCTTTGGAAAAAGTCATTCAGGATGATACCTAAATTATCTAAATGACTTAACACGAAAACTTGGGGGAAAATCTTAATGTAAGTGTACCCAGCCCTAAGAGTATAAGTTGTGGTCATAGGCGGGCAAAGTTTTGCACTGCCCTCGCCTTCCAGGTGCCCTCACTTGGCTTCCTACGGCGCACAGGTGAGGAGCCCACTAGGGGAGCTGCCTAGTCCAAGAGTGGGTGGCTACAATCCCAGGGATTCACATATGCAGATTCACTTCTTAGCAAAACACATTTATTCGTTATGTTCAGTTTCAAATGTACTAAAAGATCTGCCAGCTATTCAGACGTTCTTACAGGAATTGAGCGCCCCCTGCTGGTGTAGTACTAACTAGCATTAACACTAAGCTATCCATTCTCAATGTACCAAAATTGGAAAATATGCCCTGGAGATTTAACCTTGTATAAAAACCAGTGACAACAATATGATTCATGCTGCTGAAATTATGAGTTTTATATGGGTTTGGTAATAGGTTGAATTTTTAAATGTTGTATGACTCCCGAGTTCCTCATAAAAATAATTCTTTCAGTTCTTTATCTCAATTGTATAAACAAGGTTAACATTTTGAAGTTCTCAATGTTCTGATAGAATTTTCTTCCCATTTTGGAATGGAGTGGTCACAGAAGGCTTTATGGGGATGTCATGTGGTCTAGGGAGAGGACACTGGTTTTGGGATCAGATAGCCTACACTGGAATTCATTTACAATTTGAATGACTTAGAATAAATCTTTTAACTTGGAACATGCCATTTAATTTTAACTTGCCATCTCAGGATCAATGAGGATAAAAATATTGACCTTGAAAGTAGACATGAGGGCCAGAAATCATGTGTCTAAAGCACACAGAAACATTCGGTTAATCACTGTTATTGTTACTATATTATTTATAATTGGGTCTGTTACTATGTTATTTACAAGTGGGTCTTCCTTGGGCTTCAAAGGGGGCAGTTCCTGGACTCAGATTCTGTTTCTGGAGGATAGAGGCTGCATCCGGGGTCCTGGGTCTGGTTCAGAGAATTCACCCCTGGGTCACAAGTGCAGGGTTCACCCTGGGCACTCAAGTCTCTTTAGAACCCACGAACCAACCCAGGGTGCTGTCCTCATGAAATACGCCTCTCACTGGGCGTAGCTGGACAATTCCACCTCTAAGAGCTACTCCACGTTCCTCTGTTTCCATCTCCATCTTGCTAGTCCAAGCCACCATCCCCTCTCACCTGAGCCAATGCAAAGCTCTTCCGTCTTTCCACTTCTATTCCCGCCTCCTCAAAGTCAGAGTGACTTACATTTAAAAATACAAAGTATAATCTGATCAGGCCACCCCAGCTCCTCCTGCCTGCCCACCTGCCTCGCTTGTACTGCCAGTTCCAGCTCCCGCTCTATGCAATTTCCTCTCTCTGAGATCATTCCTTACCCACCCCCCTGGCCCCCAAATTCTTCCCCTGGCTACTCCTACCCATCCTCCAGGTGCTGGCTCACAAACTCAAGGAGGGTCCAAGAAATATCACATTTTCTTCAAATCTTTTTGGCCTCACTGTGCTGTGCTGAAGCAGAAATGAAATCTGTGGTGTCTGGAGTGTTCTCCTCTTAGGGACTCACAAGCATTTAGGATGCTCACAATTGATCTGGAAACTGGGCAAGGACCTGTACGCTTCAGTCTGTCTGGGTTGCTGCTGCTCTCCTCACTGCCAGCTCTGAGGCGCCCTTGAAGAAGGTGGCTCTGATGCATCAGGGTCTTTGTCTCGGTGGGAAGACTCAGTGCTGGGCTTCAGGTCTCCTGTGGGCACCCTCAAACCATGACCCTCTGAAGTTTGCCATGTCCCTGGGTACCACCAGCCACTGGGGCACCGCTTCCTACTCCTCCCTAAGAGGGTCCTTCTCTCCCTCCCTTCTCTGCTTCCCAAACAGGGGGTAGGCTTGCTTTTGAGTACGTCTGCTTTCTGCTGTAAACAGGATGCAAAAATGGCCTGGCCACTTCCTTGGAGAGTGGGAAAAATTCAGGAACAAAATTAGATTTCAAAATATGTGCTATAAAAGCTACTTACCACAAGGTCTCCCCATAACTATCCAATCTGAATCAGGTCCCCCCAGTCACACGTTATACCCTGTGGTCACCGCCACAGCCCAGTCGCTCTCTTCCTGGACCGTCTGTACTTGTTCCCTGGCAACTGAGGGTTGGCTTCCAAGAGCTCAGAGTTGCCCTGTTCTCTGGAGAGTCACGTCCCCTGGCAATGCCTGGGAGGTAATGCCCTCCCTGGGGGATGGTGGGAGGGAGGCGGACAGCAACTGACCAACAACATACTGCTCACAGACCTAGCCTCTGTTCTCAAAGTGGAAAAACTCTTGGCGCCGTCACTTTCCATAGATCCTGTAGGATCTGCCTGACGCCTGACTTCCGCTGAAGCCTCATTCTTTGCTCACCGTCCCCATTCCCGCCCCTATCCTGCTATCTTCCTGGGTTTCTCCTGAGCAGCCTCTACAAATCCCTTGCACAAGAAAGTGCCGCAGGCTTTGCTCCTAGGAACCCAACCTAAGTGACATCCTCTAGGTTTTCTTCCCAGAATATGTCACAATTGGAAATCACAGGTTTGTATGGTTCTTGGTTTAGTGCTTGTTTATCCTGCTAAACAAAGGCAGAGGCCATACTTATTTTGTTCTCTGCTATATTCCCAGCACCAAGCCAGGTGCCTCCTGCAGAGAATACACAGGCTTTCCCCAGGAAAGCTGCAGGCACCAAGAGCCACAGAGCCTCTTGCCTACTTTTGCACCTTCCCCTTGGGTGTTTTGACAGGTATGGTTGAAAGCCACCCTGCCACAGCAGCCTTGACTCTCTGCTCACCATCCTCAAACCAGTCCTAAATGAGCAGATTCCAACGCCCCAGCTGACAATTTGGCGCAGGCTTGGCCGCCTACATCCTAACACAATGAGTTATGATTCTGCCACCTCACAGGTCACAAACTTGGCATGGGTGCAATTCTCAGATGAGGGTAATAAGCCACGCAGATAAACCAACAGCTGTCTACCTTACAGGTATCATACTGATTCAGCTCAAATCAAGACAACTCTAAATGTTTTATAGGTCTACCACTATTCCGGGAAAGGCTGGACCCATGAGCAAGGCTGGATTCAAAGGAACATCTGCTAAGTTCTTACATAGACGTCGGTATCTGAGATATCGCATACTACAAATACAGCTGTAGTAAAACCCTCATCTAACTAGAATGTGGAAGAATACTCTAGGTACTTTATTTTTTCTGAGAAGCTGTCTCTTGGCATAAATTTTTTTCCTAAACATTGAAATTCTTTTTTCTACTGGGTTGTCTTCTTTAGTTTTCTGAGGGACTGGTGCCTTGGGGTCTGTGTTCTGAGCTGCACTTCTCAGCAAAACGATGATGCACAGGGATATTTGCCTGGATGTGTTTCGATTACTGGAGGGTTGCTACAGTGTTGTTATTGAAGCCCTAAAATCAGCTCATTTGTTTTGTGATATACTTCTTCCTCCTAAAAGCTAGGTAAACAGAAAATCCAGTAAAAACAGGATGAGAAGAAAGATTTCAATTATTCAGTGTTTTCAGTTTTTCAATGATGGATACAGATATATAAGCCGGGCCTCATCCCACAGAGTTTATAACCTGGATATAGAGAACAAGACAGATACCACTTAACAAAGGTGAATAATTCCAGGAGATAAATATGTTTTGCAAAATACAAGTTCTCATACAAATGTGTAACTAAATACTGACTCCATAGTGTTTCAGTTATGTCTCAAAGGGCTCCGAGGAGATAAATCCCATTACTGGATAAAACTAGTAGTCCATGTGGCCAAGGATCCCTGCCAAAGCATCAAAAAAGTGGTAGGGCGAGCAGAGGGAACTGTCAGATCCTGTTTAATTTATAAATGTATCCAAAGTTTGAAAATATCACAGGGGAATCTCAGGAATCCTAGTAGTCAGTGAACGCACTTCTAAATATCTATTACATTTCCAGGCTTCCTACCCATGCACTTAGATGCTTTGCCAAGCAGGGGGACAGGAAAGGTTAGCGATTCTCCTTATGTTGGGTTCCTCTTCCTAGGCCTTCCCTCTCATATCTTCAGTCACCTGTCACAGGACCCACATAAGCAGTTGGAAGTGTTGAACTGTGGCAGTAAAGCGAAATTAGAGTTAAAGGCAAATGTTTAACCAAACGTGTTTAAACACAGGCTAGGGAATGAAGAACATTAGGTTCAAAGAGCCAAATATTCTGCATTCCTGAAAAATCTCAATCCGTTTCTCATTCTAGTGAGTATTTGCACATTGCACTCTGCTGCCACAAACTAAGTGGGTGTACATTTTTGAGTGTTGATCTACCAGTGAAAGATTTGACTTAGGAGACTGAAAGAAAACTGTTTGTATCTGTGTTTTTTGTTTTTTTTTTAAAATCCATCCATGAGAAGGGAGCCAGGTGTCAGTTTCCTACGGGGGGAACGTTCTCATGCAGGTACTGTAAGGCCAAGTCGGTCCACTTCATCTCCTGTTCTTTAACGGATTCTGTGGTGCCACCGTTGTCCTGTTCGGGTTCAGGAAGCTCATTCTGAAAAGGTACAATGGACATTCAGAATGACAGTATCCTGTACATTAACAAACTCCTTAAAACTCAAGAGCACATAGAATTAAAACCTGAGTTCCTGGAAACAGGCAGCATAACTGATAGAAGTATATCCCAAAGAAGGAGCTAGAATAAAGAGACCTGAGGAGGGATCAGAATTATCACTCAGGTCCTCTCCAGAAAGGACTGAAGGCCTTATGGCTATTGTGCAGGAGGCAACGTGGCAGAAGGCTAAGGGCATGAGCTTCCAGAAGCCTCTGGGATCCAAGCCCACAACTCCACCGCTTGCTAGGTTACTCAGGCAAGGTATTCAAACCCCTGGACCTCAAACCCTTTGGAAAGACAAGAACAATGGAGCCATCAGCTCAGAGGACTGCTGTGAGACTAAATGTGGTAATTTAGACCAAGTGCTCAGCCCTGCATGGGACATCCAGTGCTGAAGGAGTATCTGCTGTCATTAGTAGTGGCCGGGAAAACTACAAAGAGCCAATATTGTCTTTTTTGGGGGTGGGGGGTGCTTAATAGAATATCACATTTGCTGGCATAGTCCTTTAGCAGAAGGAATGTATTCAAAAACTATCCTGCACCCAACATGCCTAGATTATAATGGCGTTAAGTGGGGAGCAGTGAAAATTTAACAATTTAAGACTACCCCCTAGTGGTGGAGCCAGGCAATATAAAACATGGCAAATGACCCATTCGCCCCCGGCCAGCATTTTCTTAAAATGGTAAGCCACTTGCCACACTTAACATACAATCTGGAATAATTTATATATATTTATAAATATATATATATATATTTTCCCTTGTCTTGTGATCCTAAGGCATTGTGCATACCAGTTAGCTTTTGCTGTTGCCTAACAAGTCTACACACACACACACACACACACACATTTTATAACATATATTGTAAAAAGTATATATATTTTTCCAGCTTTACTGAGGTTTAATTTACATACAGTATTTTGTAAATTTAAAGAGTACAATGTGATGATTTGTTATACATATACTGTGAGATAGTTACAATAAGGTTAGTTAACACATCCATCACTTCACATAGTTACCATTTTTGTGTGTGTGGTGAGAACTTTTAAGAAAGTTTCCTTATATTTTAAATTTAAATTTATTACTACCATGACTCTGCTTTGTATCAGACTTCACCGATATCAATATGTTTCTTTTTAATTATCTGAATTTACACTTTTTTTAGGGTTAGCAGACTGTTACTCAATATCCAGACTAAGGGTTTTCCAATGGATTCCAATTAACAGTATATGAATATAATGTTTTTCTCCCTTAGAGTTATGTTCAGTATACATTAAATGATTTATAATATGACAAATATATTTGAATCACATACATTTTCTTGCTCTACCAATGTTAAGACCGAAATTGAAACATACTTGCACAAATTGAACATAACTATCACTTATTGTAAAGCAATAATACGCTCAAACTTGAAGTGAAAGTTCGGTTCCAATAATTAGTTATAGCTGACAAAACATAAACAAGTCCTTGCTTAATAAATTATTTAATTCAGAGGCAGGCAACTTTGCTGAATTTCCTCCCATCTGTGATTCTAGTATGCGTTCTAATAATGTCTTTCATTTGGTCACTATTGTCTCTTGGCAATGAATGCCAACATATACAGTTACATATGTGCCTGGAAAACAAAGCATCATAAACACAACCATCTGTTCTGGCATATTATAAAAATGACCATAATTCTTTGCAACTACTCATATGAAAAGGAAGGGCAGTCTGTTTCCCCAGTCCTGGACGGGGACTGGCCAGGTCCCTTGCTCTGGCCAACAGAAAGCAGGTGCAGTCCAGTGGGTGGGTGCTTGACCTAAGCTCCAGGAAGCCTGCAGTTTGCTCTGAAGGTGCTCTTGGACCCTGAGATGGCCATGTGAAGCTGGGCTAGTCTCCTGGATAATGAGAGACGGCGGACTAGCCACCTCGTCGTCCCAGCTCACAGCCTGCTTAACTGGCAGAGTGAGGAGGTGTCCTGAGTTGCCCCGCCTCCAGCTGGCCTGCTGGCTGACTGCAGAACACAAGCCAGTCCAGCAGGGAGCTGGCGAAGACCAGAAGATCCTCTCAGCTGAGCTACAAAATCGTAAGGGAAGTCGCTACTGTTTTAAGCCACTATGTTTTAGGGAGACTTGTTAGACAATACCAAAAGCTAACTGATGCGCACAATGCCTTAGGATCACAGGACAAGGGAAAAGACGTGGATTAGCGACAGGGCCAGGCTGCATCCTGGGAGTTAGCACGGAAGCTTCACTCTCCTTCATCCCCTACCACACAATGGTCCCCAAATCCTGCCATAGGCATGTCCCACCTCCCTTGCCTAGACCCTTGCAATGGCTTTCTAATTGGTCTCTGCCCTGTCACCTGCCCCCTTCTTCATGGTAGACATTCTGTGACAACGCTGCCAAAAGGATTTTCCAAAACCTGATTTTAAGCATGGCAGACTTCTGTTTAGCAGACCATTCATTCCTGAATACCCCCAGGATGAGTTCTAAGCACAGTGTCAAATGTTCCTCTCAATATCTGGCCCAAGCCAAACGTTGGGGCCTACCTTACATGACAAGCATGTCTTCCATCCACACTGAATACCTGTCTCTTGAAGACGTTTAAAGCTCTCAGCCTCTGCACATGTGTCCCCACTGCTGGAGTGCCCTCGTCTACACTAAACTTCTGGTCCTCCTTTAGGACCAGCTTAAACGTTATATTCTCTCCAAGGTCTTTCCTGATGCCCGCCAGGAAATGAGCCACTTCTTATACTATGGTGGCTGTTCATGACCCCTACTTAGAATCCATGTTATTATAATTATTTATTTCTATGTGTTACCACTGTAGACCTCCCTCCTGGCCAGGGGCAGAAACTATATTTTATGTTCACATAATCTGGCATATAATCTAGCCCCTGTGGGGGTCTAGAGAGGTAACACACAGAAGTAAATAATTATAATAATTATTGCAATGCTTGCGGAATGAAAGAAACCAAAGTTTACAGGACCAGGTCTGGAGCCTCACCTCACAGACCTAGGTGTGAAGTCCAGCTTCTCAGCTACCCAACCCCTGGGCAAGTTCTGCTCTCCGACCCTGTTTCCTCCCTGTAAAATGGGGATAACACCACCACCCTTGCAAGGTGGTTTTAAGACTGGAGATGATGTATGTCAAATTTCAGCCTTGGTCCATGGCATAAAACTAGCGTTCCCAAAGTGGCAGCTGTAATTCTTCATTACACCCTCTCTTTTGACTATTTTTCTAAACTTGAACTAAGCTCTGGCTGATTATTGGATATATATATATTACTCATTTAACACATTATTATTATTTTTTTTAAAAATTATTTTTAGACAGAGGGAAAGGGAGGGAGAGAAACATCATTGTGTTGTTGCCTCTCGCACATCCCTTACTGGGGACCTGGCCCGCAACCTGGCATGTGCCCTGACTGGGAATCAAACCAGCGACCCTTTGGCTCGCAGGCCGGCACCCAATCCACTGAGCCACACCAGCCAGGTCTCATCTCTTGCTCTCCTCAGGACTGTTGGCATATTCTAAAGAAAAACAGTCCCTGGTGTCCGATCTCTTTGTCCTTTGTAGGCCTCTATGACATAAACAGCGTATTTAATAAGCATGAGTACAAGCAAAGCTTTTAGATCATTTAGTACATAAAGTTTAACAAACTCCTTTCAGGGCAGTTTTCCAGAGAACTATATACTTTTCCAGAAAAGCATATTCCAGGAGACCGTTGGTCTAAAGGCAAAAGAAGAAAAGCCAGATGTCTTTTGAATATTTTCCAGGGAACATAGGATAGGTGTGTGTTCCAAGAATGTGAGCTTTTAAAAATGTCAACAGACTCACAAGCCACAGGTAGGGAAGTAATAAATACTATATAGCTTATATGCCATTGCTTTGTACTCTTCCCTACCTTTGCACTGACCTCGCATTATTTGGCTTACTGGCTTTGGTGTACTTGACCGAAAATGGCTCAGAAGACTTGGGTTCCAGTCCTGACATGACCCGTACCTGAGCTGGTTACGTTGGCTCTCTAAATCACACTTCTCTTCAAATAAAAAGTCTAGATGCTCTCCTGAAGCTTCTAAAGTTAGTGGACTCCACAGCTTTGATTTCTTTGCTCTACTAGTTTATTTGCCCTTGATATTCTACCTCTCCTAGGGCTCACCAGGTCACACCTTTAACCCGTCATCCTTAGCACCAATTATAGCTTACCAGTGGTATTGCAACATCCTCGTAAGGCAGCTTATCTTCTCGCCAAGCATCATCAATCAAATCCAAGATCCTTCCATCTCTCTGTACTTCACTGTCCATTTTCCTGCAGCTTTGATCTTGTCAAATCTGTAAGCCAAAGACATTATTTAAAAGATTTTATTTACTTATTTTTTACACAGAGGGGGAGGGAGAAGGAGAGGGTGAGAAACATCAATGTATGATTGCCTCTTGAGCGCCCCCTACTGGGGAGCTTGCCCACAACCCAGGCATGTGCCCTGACTGGGAATCGAACCAGCGACCCTTTGGTTCATGGGCCAGCACTCAATCCACTGAGCCATACCAGCCAGGGCCAAAGAGGTTATTTCTAATACATAAAGACTCATGAGGGGTTGTAATCCAGCACTAGGCTTTACCAGGCTTTTTAGCCTGGATGTGTCTCTTGGCACAGTATCACCCTGGGAAAGACTCATCGCATCTGGGCCACAAACAACTTATTTCTATGATCACAGTCCCTCCTATCTGTCCACTCCACTCCTCCTCTCCCCTTCTGGCGATGGATGCTCTGTAGTGTACACTAGACATGAGACACAGCCCAGTTGACAAAGCAGTGTCACAGTGTGACAGGAAGGCAATATATTTGAGATCCTCTGTTACAACGCCATAAAACACCTAGAATGTAGCTTTTTCTCTCCTATCTTGCACATTCACCTTTCCCTGTTCAGGATGCCTTGGACTATTCCCTGGCTCATAACCAAGTCTCCTCTTTGGTCCCTCTAGCATTTCCTGCACCATTTTTACAAGAGTCACCACCTGCCTGGGTTCTAATGCTGGCATTTTTAGGCTAAGAAGCTAAATGAACATACTGAGGTGACACTGAACTGGGTTCTACAAGTGACCAACCACAGACCTGACAGAAACCCTCAGCTGAGCTTGTAAAGGACAAGGCCTCCTTTCTTAAGAAGGGCATCTGGACTGGACCCTGAAAGAAGCACCTCTAGGTGAGTAATACTGTCAGGACCCCATGCTGCTGGTTTCCTTTCCTTTTGGGGTTCCTCTGATTCTCAATGTTGTGCGCCCTTTAATGCTGGATCAAGATGCTTACTTATCATGGTTGATTGCCCATCCCTGGCCCTCCCCCCACCAAATGGCTGTAGTCAGCTTAGAGGGTACCTCTAGGTTCCTTGTTTCCAGGTTTGAGCTATTATTCATCACAGGTATCACCCTACCATGTTCCTTGCTACAAAACAGCCCTCCTCATGGCCTGGAAGCCAATGGCACCAAAGGTACTCAGTCACCCCCACTTCTTAACAGTATGAAGACTCATACAAGAAACAGTCTTTGGGAGTGGAATACAAAGCCACTTCTTAACAGTATGAAGACTCATACAAGAAACAGTCTTTGGGAGTGGAATACAAGTCCTTCATATAGGCCTGTGCTTACCCCCAACAGTATGACTGCAAACCTGCCCTAATAGTTAGATAATAATTATACAGGTTTGGATGGGGGAGAGGTTTTCACCCCCATGATAAGGAACTAGGCAAAACTGAAGCAAAAGGTGCCCAGGTACCTCTGCGACCAGCGAACCAGATGAGGTCTTGATGTTTCACCCAAGAATTAATCCACAATTATCCTGTGAAAAACTCAAAACAAGAACAATCCTACCTTTAGGAAACTTACACATAAGGGGTCGTTACCCCAGTTCCAGTTATATTTCCAGAGTCCCTGCCTTACAAAATCACTTTTTCCAGCTGCCATTCCTTTGTCCTTGAGGCTCTGGCCTCCGGAATACCCTCCTCCCTTTTCTCTGCTGATCAAAACCTGCTGATTTCCCCAGGCCCAGATTCCCCCATTTTGATAGTGTTCTCAAATCATTCCAGCTTCAGCAGGCATTCTGCCCTCGAATACTTCCTTCTTGTCCTGTGATCCACCAAACACCTATTTGGTCCTGTCTGTGACCAACTGCTCAGGTATTGTCATCTCCAATTGTTATGTCTAAGTTTTGTATCAATGACGCCTTAACACATATCTCCCCAATTTGGCCTCAGTGTTTTTCACCCGTTACTCTTTCCAGCACCTCTAATCCTATCATACTTTCCATCCTTTGCACTTAAACGCCTCTTTCTCCCATCACTAACCTGTACTTTTCCTTCCAAATTCAACATGGCCCTTAGATCATCAGGGTCAACATCCCATTTCCTGAGTTAGGCGCTAAGGTGTTTTCACTCTTAAGGGGCTGGAAAGCATCATGAGAGGCAACTTCAGGACGCGGCCACTTGAGGACGTGTCCCACGATTTTGCTACACTCGACATAATTAACCACTACCAGTTTCCTGAAGAAATTTTTGTTACACGTGTGATAATCCTAATCCTGGAATGCTGTCCCCCGCGCTCCCTGCGCGCCCCTCTAGCTTACCCACAGCCAGTCTAAAAACCTTGGTTCCTGCAGAAGGCTGTTTCTGCCCCAGGCAGAGCGCAGCGTCCGCCCTCCCCGGTCCCCGTGCACGCTGAATGATCCGATGGGGATCTTGTCACACTGCCTGTTTCATGCTCTTTCAAGACACCGGTGCGTGCGTTCCCCAGGGCAGGGGCACTTTTTACCCATCTCTGTAAATACTAGTTACAAGATCAAAGCAAGAAGGACTTCGCCCTCGCTAAAAATGACCCTCGCAGGCTACCACCATGTGAACAGGTGTGTGAGGCCGCCCCACAGCACCGACTTCCGGCCTCAGGCTGGACATACCAAACTTGGAAGCGGGGCGGGGGGTGTGGGTGAGGGTGGCGGGAAAGGAACAAATCCAATCCCGCCACCGAAGTCCCTTTCTATCCGACCAGGGGTGCGGTAAGAGCAGCGATGAGGCGGATGAAGTGACGACAGTCAGTCTCGGCCCATAGGGCTGGGGAGAAATGTGACGCTGTGGAACGAACTCGTTCCCGCCCTCCAAAACCTAGGCTAGGGGCGCGGAAAACCCTTACCGGCACCCGACCCAACGCTGCACCCGCGGCCGCCGGAGCCCACCCTCGGCACCACGTCATCTGCACGCCTTTTCCTCCAATCCCCGGATGTGAGTGAGTCCATTAGCTTGCGTGGAGTAGGGGTGGTTAGGGAGGAGGTGGTTTCCATTAAAAGTGAGCGGGAAGGGGGCGGAACAAACGTGCCGACGGCGAAGGCTGGACGTCAGGTTGGCGGTGACGCGCGCGCGCGCCCCTGGCCGGAGGTAACGGCGGGAAGGCTCGGGCGCGCGCGCGTGGCAGCCCTCTAACCGCCTGTGCGCACGGAGGGCAGGGGAGAGGCGGGCGTGTCCAAGTCCAGAGGCAGCCTTGGCCGCGATGGTGCCGCCGGCTGGGCCGCAGTATGGCCGGGGGCTGGCTTCCGCAGCAGCGCGTAGGCCGCGAGGCCCGCCTCCACCGGCCCGGGCTCGCCCCGGCGCCCCGCCCCTCGGTCACTCTGCTTACGCCTTGCAGACCCGCGAAGGCGGATATGGCCCTGCCAGGCGCGCCATCCGGCCCAGCCAGGTGGTCAGCCCTTCCCCGAGGCCTGGCGGGCGAGAGGGTGGCGGGGCGGACGAGGTGCTCCCGACCCCTCAGCGCCCGGGGCGGAGCCAGCTGTGGGTCCTTCCACCACTTCGGGGGAGGGATCCCTGCGGCTACCTTCCCGCCTATCCTGCCTTATCTGGTTAGCTTGCTAGTGTTGTAGCTACTTACATCATCAAAGGCAGGTGATGCCGGCTCATTTATGGTGGGAAGTTTAGCAATTTTAACAAGAGTTGGTTTAAAAACGTAAATGTTAGTACAGAAGGGAGAGAAATGTAGAGATCGGGAGAGACTGAACTGTGGATTGCTCCATGCAAATCATGGATGGGAAGTAAATGATAAGAGTGCGGGTATGAAAGGGGTGATTCCTTAGGAACAATTGAATGAAGATATCTATACGGCACATCTAGGCTCATAATGTGGTTTTTTCCGTATGTCTCTTACAACATCAGAGAGTGAAGATGAGCACGATGTCGGTGACTAGTCTTCATTTGCAGTTACAGTAAACTTAACATGCACAAAGTGGTTTTTTTGAGCTTTTCATCGGATTCCTGAAATCTTGTGTTTATTCATTCATTTAATCAAGTGTTGTAGAATAGGTACCCTATAGTTATGCAGTCACCTCCACCCCACCCCCCACCCGTATGCTTGCACTTAATTTTATAGATATGAAAAGGAAATCATAATAAGGATCATCAACTACACGTTACCTTAAAATATTTACATTTAGATTTAAAGCTGTAACTTAGTGATGTAATAAAAGTGTTATTTGGTGTAGTGCCATCTTATCCTGACCTTGCTCTTTGATTGTATCATTAACAATGAATGATCAGTACAATATAGTAAAAAATATGTAAAATGTGCTACTAGAGATTTATAAACATTCAGTATGTAGATTCTGGTTTTTAGAAGTTATTTGTAATAACTGTATGTTAATCGTACTGATGCCATCTTCCTCCCATTAAAAGGAAGACCTGTGCGTGGTCCCTCCTGTTGTATGTGGTAGAGGTGGCCGACAGTGAGCATCAGCAGTCCACTCTCAGAACCTCCCACTTAAAAAAAAAATGTCCCCCTGATTTGAAGTTCAGCTGAAGCCAACATTGACACAAGTTCCACGATCTGAATTTTTTGTTTTTATGTTATGTTCATTTATTTTTTTCCTTCAAGAGCTAGGTTTGTTTTTCAGTTATACAAAACCACAGCACGGTCACCACCTATGAAAATAAATAAAAATTCTATAACGTCAGTATTCAGTCTGGGTTCAGTTTTCCCCACTGTCCCTTCAATATCTTTTTATAATTGTTTGGATCAAAATCCTGTAGAGATACACATGTTGCATTTGGTTGATACACTTTGTAAATCTTTTATTAAATATAGCAGTTCCCTTGCCTCCTTTCTCCCCTTAATATTCTAGGTTCAGCTGATTGCATCTGCCTGATGTCCTTTAACATGTAAATATATTTTCTTTAAGCTAGCAGTTAGGTCTAGAATGCCACTATCCATCTATAGTAGCCACCAGCTAGCTGTGACCATTTAAATGAATTAAAATGAAACTAAAAATTCAGTTCCCTTGTCATATTAGCCATGTTTCAAGTGCCCAGTAGTCACCTCATGGTTACTGTTTGGTGTAGATAGGAAATATTTCCATAATTGCAGGAAGTTCTGTTGAACAGCACTGATCTAGAAGCTTGATCAGACAGCCTTGTTTTTTGGGGGGAGGGGTATAGGGAGATTTCCTAGGTGGTGCAGTGCACTTCTTGTTGCATTAATTATGACAGAGGCACACAATGAGTCGTCTCTCTTTTTGTGATATTAAGATTGAGTAGCGCAGTGGGTTTAGGTCTTGTCAGCCCTGTCCATCCATTATGAAATTCCCTGTGAACTTTTCACATATTGGTTAAGTCTTTTCATGGATTTAGATTGCCATATCCATTATTGCGTCAGGGGTTGTAATGTGGTGATTTTCTAATTCTATCGTTCCTTCAGTATTTAATAGCTGGAAATCCTTCATGAAGAAGAACTTTCTCCTATGAGCTATTTGACTACCATCAATCATTTGAAATACAATTTGGACAGGAAAGGCAAGAAAAATGCTTAATTCTTTCCCTCTTTTTTCAGACTTCAGTAATGAGTTGGTGGCCTAACAACCTCCAAAGGTAACCATGAGGGTTTTTTCCTTTTAAAAAAAATCATCAACTTATTGACTTGCATAGATTTAAACTGTTTCAACCTATCAGCCATCCTCTTTTTTTCTTTTTTTTTTTTTTGGTACTCAAATTATCCTGTTTTCGGCTAGTGGTGGCCCCTTTAAGTTGGTCCTTTCCACTTCAATATGACCAGCAGTCTTTGATAATTTTCTCATTTTCTGGTAAAACATGTTCCTGGCCATTTATATATGTCTGGCCACCAGGAAGCCTGGTTCGTTTGAATGGGAGATGGTATTTAGAGACTACAGTCTGGGCACTGGAGGTGCTCTTACTGCTGGATTGGTCATTAGTGCTAGATTTACAGTGGCCAGATTCAGGAAATATATTTTTAAAAGAGAAATATGTAGAATTCACCCTGGTATTTCCAATTTATTTTCAATTTTATAGTTTTTTTGCATATTTGATTTTATATTTGTATCTTTTTCTCTTTTGCTGAAAATATTAGTACATAGTACCATTAATATAACTACTTTTTTCTTATATGTAACTGTTACAAATGAACAATACCAATTTTATTATCAAAAATATGATTCCTAAATAGTGTGCAGGGATTTTTTTTGTAGTTCTCTTTTATTCTTAGTATATATTCCATTTGGATATGCACAGTACAATTATTCCATTTTAAAGCCATGAAACAATTTGTTATATCGTTATGCTGCCAACCTGATATCTAGTTGATAGTTGATTTAAGTTTATTTTTATTTTTCAATCCTGCTTTTTTCCCCATTTGGATTTGTTTTATTATATGTAAGACATTAGCATGATTTCTATAAAACAAGTACCTATAAAACAAAGTACATCCAGATAAGCTGAGCTTTCATCCCTGTTTTCTCCATCTTATTCCCTTTCTAATAGGTGTCATATTTACTAGTTTTGAGTTTATCTGTTCCTGAGAACAAATGCATTATATCTATAGATCTATGTATGTATACATATACACACATATACATGTTTTATATATTCACTTTGTGTATATATCACACATATATGTATTCCCTTTTGATAAATGGTAGTACTTGTATATACTGTTTTGTATCTTGCTTTTTTTCACCTAATAATATATACCCTGTATAACTGCAGAAATATGTAGAGACTGTTATCCCTTTTTATAGCTTTATAGTATTTCATTGAGGGATGAATATTCACATAGTCCCCTGTTGATAGGTGCTTGTGTTTTTTCCTACTATTTAGTTGTGCAATGTATATAGTTGTGCATATGTGATTTTGTATTTTTGCTAATGTATCTTTGGTATGGTTTCCTGTAAGTGGCATTTTTGAATCAAAGGGTAACAAATGCACACATATCGGTTGTTAGATATTGCCAAAATCACCTCTGTAGTAGTTGTACCACTTTGCATACCTATGTGCCTTGTACACAGGTGCCTGTCTTCCCATGTCTCATGAGTGTATATTGTCAAACTTTTAATTTTTGGTTAATCTAATACAGAAGAAAGGATAACAGTGTGTCTTAAACTTGCTGAGCAAGATTGAGCACCTTTTCATACATTAAAGTTCATTTGCATTTCTTTTTCTATGAGCTACTTTTTCATGTCTTCTATTTGTTTTTTCCCCCTCAATTTTTAGGTTCTCTGTGTATTTGCATAAGTAAACCTTTGTGATAAGACTTTCAAATACCACTGTCATTTGTCTTTTAACTTTGCTTTTGGCATTTTCCCCATATGAAAATGTATTTTCTTAATTAATTTTTTTTCAAATACATTTGTCTCTGCCTACCCCCCACCACTTTCCCCGGCCCCACAACTCCCTCTCCTTCTCCCTTTCCCACTTTGGTTTTGTCCATGAGTCCTTGTTATATGTTCCTTGACTTGACCCTTCCCTTCCTTTTCCCCGCCCACCCCTCCCTGAAAATGTATTTTTGTTTACTCAGATTTCTCAGTCTTTCCCTTTATCCTTTCTGGATTTTGAGTCACAGTTTAGACAGA